CCTTTTCGACGAGTTAAGCAGTATGTCTTTTTCGTTGATGCAGTATTTTGTTCACTAACATGTTGAAGATTGATTAGCTGAACTGCTTTCGTTTTATGAATAGTTTATTCATCAGTTGGTGTTGCGATAGGTCTCAACATTTGGACTTCAGCATGTATATGCTTGCTATGTTTTTCTGCATAAACCACGGCTAAATCATCATTTCATCATCATGTTGCTGAAATCTAATGAAACACATGAAAAGTGGAAGAGGATTTTTAAGGTAATGTTGTGGTTCCCTTCTTTGGAAAATATAAAATTAAATGTCGATCAATTATCTACAATATGTGCTACGTTAACAATGTATCGATGAATTTAGATTAATTTCAGAGCAAAACACGGTCTCAGATAAAAAAAACTCTTGGATGTCAAACATCCATTATTTATAATGATATATGTTACCTTGATGGTATTAGTGCTTCAAGGTTTCTAAAAACTTTCGAAACTGAGAAAAAACAATGTTTATAAAATTAAATTTGAATGCCAGTTATATTTATTAAAAGATTTGCTTCGCTCTAAGATTCTTTTTCTATTGTTTCGAAGGTTTGAAAACTTCAAAAAGCGTGAAAGAACTCAAAAAAATTCGGAATCTAATTTAGGTTCCCGACTATACCTTTTTGAGTTTCCGAATGTTCGAAAATCCTTTAGATTTCCGATAAAATAATTCGGGAACCGAAAATGTATTCTCGGATATCCCCTCAGGTATCAAATCAATTCTTTCGGATGAATCGGTTTCCTAAAATACCATAACGATTCTGGGAAATACTAATTGGGTTCTCGACAGCAATAAAAAAAAGTATTCTAGAATACTTTACGGATGTCGAATTCGGTACTCCCGAAAACCTAAAGGTTTTCTGTGATCTCAGAAACCAAGAAAGTATTTTTGAGAGCACTTTGTGAAGCTGGAAACCCTATGGGATACCGGAAACGGTTTCCGAGCTAGTTTGAGTTTCCCAGAAAACGAATGTTTTTAGAGTATAGTAATAGATTTAGACCATCATTCAAAAAGAAATGTCATTTAACAAGAGCACATTATCGTTCTATCACTTAATAAAGAAAAGTTTTCAAATACAGGGCATTGTAAAATTGTAGGGTAACGAGGATGGTTGCAGCATGCCATGATTGGTTTTTACCTTATTGATACAAGGCGTCACCAGACGACATCAAAACTGGATATTCTTACAACGAAGAGTATATCTTCTGTATCTGTCATGGTCAATAAACCTATTCGAAGAGTCCAAAAAACTCTCAAGGCACTATTGTGTAGTATTCCAACTAGGATGGACCATTTACCTTAATTTAAAATTAGGTTTAAAGTTATTATTTAATGCTTAATATTAGGTGTTAAGTAAAGCCACTTAATAAATATTTTTAATTAAGTCGCGTTAAACAATTTGGACCGGCCCTAGAGACAAGCCAGATAGTATGAGCGAAATATACCGATGAAGACAGTGGGAAAATGTTTTTTCACATTTCATTCAAACGATCAAAAGCGTGGTCATCTATGCTACGACTAGTTACAATTTAATTCGATAAGTTTTTTTGTGCGCATAGGACGTTTCGGTCTCGTTTTGACTTCTTCTTTTGGTATTGGCTGGGCGCGTTCTACAGTTGGTACCTTGATTCGTCTTAAATGTGCGTAGAACTCGAAATTTTCGTTAAACGAATCTCTTCGACATATTGTCTTCTTCAACTTCGTTTCCTACTATTCAATTTGTCCAGTATCAAGCTTCTTAAAAATTTTTCAAGTACGAGAGGCACAATGGCATTGGCACAAATGTCGTGTGTTATACTGCAGCAATGAGAGAAGGTTCGGGATAGATTTTCATAGTTGATTTCTATTTATTTCATCCATATATTACGACAGACTATGATTAAAGTAAATCAAGCGAGAGAAGCAACTGTGTTCATGCGGCAGGGATTTCGAATTTTGAAAACTAATTTGACTATGTACGGAATAATGAATCTAAGACTCATAGTTAGTCCGCCGTACAGGCCTAATATTCGTGATACTATGTAGACAAGATTGTTGCGTTTCTTAAATGTGTATGAGCAATACATCGGAGCACAGTGATTGTAGAATGCCGAGTAAGACACATTGATTTGCCATTGTTCGACAAAAAGTGCATTAACTATCTCTTTAATAACAGTGTCTGTCTTGAAACGACTTGGTATTGTAGAGTTCATAGCCCATATATTTATTGTAAGAGGAAAGACTTCTTCGACTGATGAAGCATAGTACATCAGTGTGTCAATACATGTTTGATTGTATAAACACTCGAGTGTTGAGCGTAGTAAAGTCTCGACTGGTGAACAGCCTATATTCCATCCAGGCATCGCAAAACGTTGAATATCGGAAAAAGAGCGATAAATTCCTCCAGATTCGACACAATCACTTCGTGTTGCACAAGAACATCCATTGTTCAGGGTGACGGCATTCGTAGGCAATGTCATGGAAGTTCTATTGGGTTTTATCCACCAGTACCAATTAGAGAAATAGCTCGACACGAACGTGTTCCCATGTGTTATATCACGTACAAGTTGCAGGCCATTAGAAAATCCAGCTGGAGTGTTTGTTTGAAATTGTTGAGTGATACCGGTCATCTTCGAAAGAAACTCAGACTTGGGCATCACTTGAGCGCTGACGAATGCTTCTGCGAGAAACTGTTGAGCAGCATTATGAATAGTCGTTTGTGAGAGTGTGCACAATGTTGACAAAAGACTGAAATATGCGGTTCCGCGTATACGGAGATCGGATCTTTGATATTTGTACCAAAGACTGTCACCGAATAAATAATCGAGCCATATTTTTTTCACAAAGTTACTTGAACACACTTGATGAAAAGTTGTATTTACCGTGGTGAATTGTTTGTGTCTCACAGAAATTTGAGCACACGGACATTGAAGTGTAGTGAAATCTAATTTCACTAATTCCTCATACTGAGCTTGAGAAGGCATGGAGAGAATTTGACTCGTGATTTCCATGGACAAAGCAGTGTATATTATTATGATAAGAATACTGACCAATAGAAACAACACATAAAGTTGTGTCGAGAACTGTTCATGTTGGAGAGTTTCAATTTGAGAGGAGCCACTGTCAAATAGATTGAACGTGGTGAGTTTATGTCGAAGTCGAGTCCAGATGTTCGAAGAACCAAGTTCAATTCGATCATTGTCTAAAGAAAGTTATTTCAATTCTTTACAAATATAGTTGAGATATTTTAAAAACATTACATTTGAAGTATCTCGAGGTGAGCAATTTTAGAGAAAGAGAATCGCCATTGATGCAT